TATTTTTGTGCTGTTTTATAGAAGGCAGTGTCTCCAGCAGGCTTGGAACTCACTAAGTAGTAACTTGAATTCCTAATCATCCTGCTTCCATCTCCTGAGGGCTAGTATTACAGGCTGTGAGCTACCACATCCAAGCTGACCCCCAAATAAATACACATACATATACACACACACACACAAAACTTTTTTTTTTTTTTGGTGTTTTGAAACAGAGTTTCTCTGTATAGCCCTGGCTGTCTTGGCACTTGCTTTGTAAACCAGGCTGGCCTCGAACTCACAGAGATCTGCCTGCCTCTACCTCCCAAATTCTGGGATTAAACACGTTCACCATTACCACTGGGCTGAATATTCTTAATTATAAAAATCCGTATGTGAGCCAGGCATGGTGACGCACACCTTTAATCCCAAACTCTGTGAGTTTGAGGCCAGCCTGGTCTACAAAAAGAGTTTTAGAACAGTCAAGGCTATTACACAGAGAAACTCTGTCTCAGAAAAAAAATCCCATGTGTGTGTGGTTGGAGAGATGGCTCTGTCCGTAGAAGCTCTACTTCTAAAGCATAAGAACCTGAGTTCAGATTCCCAGAACTCAGATAAAAAGCCAGATGTAGTAGCATGTGCTTGTAATCCAGTGATGACAAGCTGGGAGGAGATAGGTGGATCCTTGGAGCTCAATGGCTGGCTAGCTAGTCTAGCCTAGCTTACTTGGTGAAGTTCCAGGTCAATGAGAGACTCCACCTCAAACAAAAGGTGGAAGGTACTCAAAATGTGGTACTCAAGGCTGTCCTACACATATATACACACACGTTGACATGGGCACATACATATACACTAACAGACACACACACACACACACACACACACACACACACACACACACACACACACACACATATATACATATAAATAAAATAAAATAATTGAGGTTGGAGAGATGGCTCAGAGATAAAGAGCACTTACTGGACATGGATGCTGGGAACTGAACTCTTGTCCTTTGAAAGAATGGCAAGTGCTCTTAAAAGCTAAACCACCTCTCCAGTTTCCTAGGGATTGCACTTTAATGGAGTAAGATATTACTTAAGCAAACAGGTAGATTTTTTTTATGCCATTTAAAAGTATGCTTCATTGGGGCTGGAAAGATAGCTCAGCAGTTAAGAGTACTGACTGCTCTTCCAGAGCGTTCAATTTCCAGCACCAACACGGCAACTCACACCTGTCTGTAACTCCAGTTTCAAGAGACCTGACACCCTCACTCACTCACACATACATACATCATACAGGCAAAATACCAATGCACATAAATAAATTAAAAAAAATTCAGAGAAGGTATCCCTCATTATATTATCTTGGAAAAGACGGCTACTTACAAAGATGACACTTTCCCCCACAAATTTGATGTACTCTCAATTAAAAGTCCTGTTTTATATATATGGAATGTTGGGGATGGAACCTAGGGCCTCACACATGCTAAGCAATGCTCTTTGATTAGTTTTTTTATGGAATAAAATGTCACACATGGTTAAATCAACTTTAAGAAATAAGAGCAAAGAGGGAGCTATTAAGAAACTGTATAAACCCATAGTAATGAAAACAGTAAGGTTATGGTATAAGAATAAGCAAAGAGATAAATGGAACAACTTAGATCACTCAAGATGGAGAGAACTTGAGCAAAAATGAACTACTTAGGAGGTGGTACTCAGCAAACTGTTCACTACATGAATGAAAACAAAACTAAAATCTATCTTATATTCAAAACTGGATTCTAAATGAACTAAAGATGTGAATGCAAAAGTTAAGACTATATGGTGAAACTCTTTGTGATCTGAGATAGGAAAAGAAAAGATTCTGAAAACACAAATATGGCAAGATCTGGATGGGGTGGCACATGTCTCTAATCTTAGCACTTGGGAGGTGGCTTTCAGTGAGTTTGAGGCCAGCTGGGTCTATGTAACAAGTTCCCGGACAGTGAGAGCTTCATAGTAAGACCCTGTTTCAAAAGGGGGGGGGGGGGGCAACAAAGTAAGGATTTGTTAGGAACAGGTAGTCAGGAGGTTGAGGTAGGAAGATTACCACAAGTCTCAGGTCAGTCTGAGCTATATGGTGGGTTCCAGGCCAGCATGGATTTTAGTGTGAGATCCTGTCTCAACAACAACAAACAGAACAGGGCTGGAGAGATGGCTCAGAGGTTAAGAACACTGGCTGTTCTTCCAGAGGTCCTGAGTTCAATTCCCAGCAACCACATGGTGGCTCATCTATAATGAAATCTGGTGCCTTCTTCTGACCTACAGGTATACATGCAGGCAGAATACTGTATACATAATAGATAAATAAATCTTTAAAATTGGCAAAACAACAACAAAAAGAACAGTAACTATTTTTGGCAGGCACACAGTATTAAGTAAAATGTAACACGCACATCTCATGGTGCAGCAATTAGAGACAAAATATTAATATACAAATGGCAATAGAGACAGCTAAAATACACAGTCCTGAGTATTATGGAAGTTCAGGAAACAGAAGACTGTAGCACTATGCTGTTTATGAGAACTGAAAACTGACACTTGAGACAATACTACCTACTTTAGAAGGATACATATTAAGCACAACAGAGCTGCTGCCTACAGAGGTGGGAATTGGGAATAAAATGAAAAAACTAAACACAGTAAGAGGAGGCCTTGTGATGACCGATCTATGATAAAACCTGTTTAGAACTGGAAAGTGTGATTAACTCAAACCTCTGCATTTTGGATTCTCTAAAAACCAGAAGAAAACCAGTGGTTTCACTTGGCAACAAAGTCCAAGGAGAGTATAGCTACCTGAAGCTCAGTCACACAGCACTTGTAGTGATTATGGTCTACAATCAAATTAATCTTCCCCTAAGGGAGTACTGTATTGAAATTAACATTTCACACATGCTAAGTAAGAGTTCTACCATTGAGTATATTTCTAGCCACCAAATGCCTTGCAAAACACAGTTTTAAAAGGAGGTCAATGCCAGGCATGGTGGCACATGCTAGTCCCAATACCTGGGAGGCTTAGGGGTGGTGGTGGTGGTGTTTGCAATGAGTTCCAGGCAGATATAAACTACATGGTGAAACCCCATCTCAAAAATAAATAAATATGGCCTGGAGAGATGGCTCAGTAGTTAAGAGCACTTGATTGCTCTTCTACAGAATTCAGGTTTGATTTCCAGCACCTACATGGTTAGCTCACTCACAACAGTCTGTAACTCCAGTTCCAGGGGATCCAATGCCCTCTCTGGAATCACCAGGGAACACATGTGGTGCAAAGACACACGCAAGTAAAACATTCATACACATAAAACAAACAAACAAACAAACAAACAAATGAATAAAATAGCATTTATAAGCTGGATCTGGTGGTATAGGCCAGGTAAACCTAGATATTCAACGAGACTGAGGCAGGACAGTTGCAAGGTCATGCCTGCAAATCTGGTCTGGGCTACAGATTGAGTACAAGTCCAAGCTGGGCAATTTAGAGTCTATCTCAGAATAAAATGTAAAGGGCTGAGTATATAAAATAGCTCATTGGTACAGCACTTGCTGAATTGTGCAACCTAGGTCCAATTTCCTGTACCCCACTCCACAAAAAGACATTTCAAAACCGCTTTCTCTCCAATGTTTCATAAATTTATTATTTTTTCAAGTCAAGGTCTCATGTAGCACAAGTTGGCTTTGAACTCCTGATCCTCCTGCCTCCTCCTCCTAAGTGTTAGGATTACAGGTACACACTACCATGTCCAGCAAATTTATTAAGAACAGACTTTCTTTTTTTTTCTTTTTTGGTTTTTCGAGACAGGGTTTCTCTGTGTAGTTTTGGTGCCTGTCCTAGATCTCGCTCTGTAGATCATGCTAGCCTCGAACTCACAGAGATTCCTCTGGTTCTGCCTCCCGAGTGCTAGGATTAAAGGCATGCGCCACCACCACCCGGCCAAGAACAGACTTTCTTAATCTTAAATTCGGTTTGCCTTCCTGGGCTCTTTTATAATATGGTGGATAGGTCACTTGCTTCAGAATCACCCGGGGCAGTAATCTACCAGGATGCCAAAGGATCTTGTACTTATACCCAAAATCTTTAAATTTTACCAAGTGTTCTAAATGTTTGTTTGGTATCAGAGTTGAAAAGCAAAACAAAACTATATAAGCCCAGTGAGATGTCACATCCCCAGCTATTCAGGAAGATGAACTGGGAGGATCACTTGTACCCAGGATTTTGAGACCAGCTTAGACAACAGAGCAAGACCCATCTCAAATAAAAAACAAAGCACCCTGTATGAATTGGATAAGCTGTCACCCCAGCTCTCTTAGGAAGCTAAAGTAACAGGATCACAAGTTGGCCAGTACGGACTATAAAGGGAAACTCTGTCTCAAGACAAAGCAAAACCCACTCTCACAGGCCTGGAAGATGCCTCTATCAGTAAACTGCTGTGGTTTAAGTTTGAGGGCCTGAGCTCCATTCCCTGTCACCCATATAAAAACACCAAGTGTGGCAAATGCCTGTAATCCCAGTGCTGAGAAGGTAGAGAAAGGAGGCTCCCTCAGGCTTGCTGGCCAGCCAACATAGCTAAATCTGTGAGCTCTAGGTTCAATGAAAGACTCGTCCTCAAAAAATAAGAGGGAAAGCAATTGAGGTAGATACCTGGCATCACTCTCTGGCCTCCACACCCATACTAACAAGAAACCTACCCTCACATCCAGCCATGGTACTCATCAGGCTGTTTGGCAATCACCTGTAAACTATGTGGTCTTCCTTGTAAGACCATACATAACAAGACATAAGGAGACCTACAATCATTATGTCTCATTCATCTTTGCATTCTCAGAGAATAGATACACATAATGCTGAAAAGAAACCACTCCTTTGCTGTGTTGTTTCTTCTGCCTAGAAGTAAGTGCCTCTCAGCATCTTCCTGGATCACTGCTCATATGGGGGTATGCCTATAGTGCTTGAGAGCCAAGGGAGTGGATAAGTGGATAACTCACCGTCTTTCATACTCCATGTCCTGATAGGATTTTCGGGAGCTGCTGGGGCCCCGCCTCAGTTGCTGGCTCCGTTTCACTTCCCAGCCACCCCCGCTGCTGCCACCATGATCTGCCAGCCTGGGTGATGCCTCCTGCAGAGACTCTGCAGAGAATGGAAGGAAGAAAGGGGTCAAGACAGTTGGTGCAGAGAGGGCCTCCTTCAGAGACTGTCATTGTCAAGGCTCTCTACTGTCCTATAGCCTAAGGACATTGTTTTCTACTTCCTTGTGCTCCTGTGAATCAGTACAGGAAGACAGCCCCATTTGGCTCTCTCCTTCCTTTCCCCATAAGCATGAGGCCAGATTCCACTGCCCTAGAAAACAGTAATGCCCTTATCAAACAAAGAGCATCTTACAGAGATTTGGTGGGACCACTGGCTATGTGATCAAGGCTTTGCATGTGCTGAATGATTTGCCTGGATTAGGCATATTAGTCACAGAAATAAAACCACAATAGTTGGATGGGGATATAGTTATGGGGCAGAACACTTTAACCAGCATGTTCAGGGCTCTTGGGTCCCCAGCATCACTAAAACAACTAGCAAAACACCAAAAGACAAAAGAGTAAAAAAAGACTTCACAACAATGGGAATCCCAAGCTCCTTCCCATGGGTTAAGGTATCATTTCATCCTCTCAACAAGATGCCAGCTATACCCTGACAAGGCAGTCAGAAACCTTGAAAGGCTTTTGGAGGGAGGGAGGGGTGAAAGGAGGGAGGGTGTGTGTGTGTGTGGGGGGGGGGCTAACTTGGCAACAAGACAGCTGCCACCTCCCTAGGCTCCTGGCCAACACAGCCCTGGTCTTCGCACAGCAAGTGGCTCAGCCGTGATGTACAGCCAGGTCCCCAGGTGGATCTCTCCCCAAGGATCATAGGCTAAGCTTTCCAGAGGCAAAAGGGGCCTCTTTCTGAAGTGGTTCCAAGACATTTTGTTCTACTGAGTTGAAGGGAGCAGTCACTTCATCCAACTTTTGGAGCTGTCATGAGAACTACAAGTTCTGAGAGTGATACGACCCAACCAGGGATCAGAAACAATCCCTGAATCTTCAGCTACCACCCACTGTACAGAAATCAAGTAAATAAAGCAAGGTAGTTACAGTACCTGCCCAATACTAGGTTGCCACCACACCTTTCCACCAAGTACACACGTGCCTATTTTCTCTTCCACCTCAAACCACGGGGAACCAGTTAACTGCTCCCAGATGGGGAAAAGAATCAACCAGGAACCCTAGTGGCTGAGAACCTGATGCAAACCCCTCAATGGCAAAGGATGAGTCAAACATTGTCATACACACACAGCAGAGACAAGAATCAAAAAGTTTCAGGCGAGCCCCCAAATAACCAAGAGCCAAGATCACAAAAGGAAACCCACAAGAGACATAATCAAACGATTCCCATTTTAATACTTGAACGTCAGTGTCAGATACAACTCCCAAAAGAAGAAAAGTCACATATATAGTCTCTGTCCACTTCACCCTCCCCAGCATTCACTAAATAGGTTGGGGTTGGCCAGTAACAGCTTCCTGACAGATAAGGACCGAGGTCAGATATATACCCCAAGGATTAAAAACCACAGTCACTTTCTCTCTTCGAGCTCGCCACCCCCATCCCCGCCACATAAATGAATAGAGGCCGCAGCCAGAGTATTTCCGTGTGGGTAATTAACACAGGGCAGCCAGCACACTCCGATCTAAGAATACCCCCTCAAAGTCGCAGGCAAGCACGTTCCAAAAGATAAAAGTTCGGTGGAGCAAACACAGTTAAGTCACAGTACCCCACTCCCATCTGTCCGCCCCTTCCCCCACCCTCGTGCACCCATCCCGTGTCCCAAACGCGCACGCGCTTTTGCTTTCATAAGAAAAAGCCGGGGCGGGGTGGGGGGGGGACACCCCCTCTCAGGTGCATCCCTTGGCTCTGTGTAAACCCCGAGTGTGCAGTCCGTCCCCGCGCCTCTTCTATGCGAACCGCACCCCCACCACCGCGCGCACGTCCCGCTCCCTTACCTCGGCCCCTACCACCCTCAACGGCGCTCACCTTCTCGGCCCGGGCTGTCAAGGGAGGGCTCCCAGGCATCACCTCCACCAGCCGCCACCTCCTCCAGAACTGCTAGTTCAACGGGAGCCGACGCCTGCAACAACCAAGTCCAAGGCTAGGAGCAAAAGAGAGGAAAGGGGGAGGGGAGACGCGCCCGACGCGCTGCCCTCCCAAGGAAACTCAGTGCCGCCTCCTCCTAGCCGGCCACAGTCACCAACACAAAATGGCGACGAGGAGAAGGGAGCCGGCGCTCCGACCACCATCCACCTACTAAGGGAGCGCGCTCTGGCCGGCCTTGACGATTGGTTGCTGTCCGCCACCGGCTGGCCCTGGCTTTCTCTGATTGGCAAGCATATGCTACCACCCCATTCCCCGTGAGAACGCCCCGGGAGTCCAGAAAAAGAGTAGCTATTGGCTACCCCTATGAGGCCCGCTTTTTAGAGCTTGCTTTCCTTTGAAGTTGAAAGACAAGCAGAAGCTCCACCTCTTTCCTCACAAGGCCGTCTAGATGTCACCGCTTTCTTCTTACGAAGAAAATAAACAGACGTCTCAAGACCAAATTTCTCCTAGCCTGACAGAAAGGATAAAGTTGATTTGGTGGTGATACGAGATGGGAAGTAAAACAGAGTCCACACCTCGCTATGCTCGAAAACAAACTTAGATCAAGGATCTATTTAGCGAGGTGAGGGCGGAGCGACAAAAATCGCGCTGGGCTCAACCGCAGCTGCGCACATCGCATTTCCGTGTCTCCCCCCCTCCCCGACCCAGCAGCACAAGCTGTCATGGCGGCCCGGCTGTTAAGTTTGTATGCTCGCCGCCTTTCCGCAGCAGCGGTGATACGAGGGCTTCCTGCTGCCCGCGTTCGCTGGGAATCCTCCAGGGCTGTAATCTCGCCATCTGCTGTGGAGAGAAAGCGGCAACGAGAACCGACCATGCTCTGGCAGGAAGACCCAGAACCCGAGGACGAAAACCTCTACGCGAAGGTGAGAGGGAAGGGGAAAACGGGATGCCGCAGGGGCCAATCTGGGACCTGCGGACCGGTGTCAGAAGAGAATGTTCTCCGGCTTGAGGCTTGCGCCCTGGACAAGATCTTCAAAGATTAGGAATTTTGGCTTGTTTTCCTCTTTTTTTTTTTTTTTTTTTTTTTGATATCTTCAGTCTAGTACTCGAAGCGGGATTTGCTTTATTTGTAGACAGAAATCACACTTAAAGTGGGCAGCGCCCAAAGTGCGTTAGAAACATAATCACTGTAATACTAAATTCTGAGATGGCACGTGCTCAGGGCCAGTCTGTGCCAGACACTTTGTATCTATTAACTCATCTAAGTTCTGAAACAGTGTGATTTTGAAGTAGACACTACTACTGTTACCACTTTGCAGATGAGGATACTAAAATAGATAAATTGCTTACTCAAAATCACATTAACTTGAGTAGGTAGTGGAAATGATATTTGAATTTAGGACTAACTGGATTCCTGTGCTTTATGAATAATTGAGACTCTGGAGTCAGACACCCTGGGTTGGAAATTATTCACTTGATGACCTTGGGCAAGTAGTTTGTAGTCTCTTTGTTCCTTAGTTGCTTTGTAAACTGGGAAAAGCAATAGGACAGCTAAAAAATAGACCTGCTTCATATGATTAAATGAGTCAGAATGGTCACAACAGCTCCTGCCAATTCAGAAGTACTCAGAATTAGAAGATGTTTATTATTGCCATTTCCACCTTACTGGGATATGTGAAGTTTGTATTTTTGAAAAGGCATAGCATATAAGTACTTCATCAACACTAACCTCTGGTTGAGGGGCTTAAATATATAGGGTGCTATAGGATAAGTGGACCCATAGGAAATTACCAATATTCAGCCATCTTTAAACATTTATTTATTTATTTATTTATTTATTTATTTATTTATTTATTTATTTATTTATTTTCAGAGCTGAGGACCAAACCCAGGGCCTTGTACTTGCTAGGCAAGCGCTCTACCACTGAGCTAAATCCCCAACCCCATTTTTAAACTTTTATAAATAGCACTTCCCAAGGGTACAATTTAACAGACAGGGTGATTAGGTAATGTTTCCCAAACAAGTAGGTGAGGCCAATTACTCATTTGGAAATAAAGTCAAAAACCTTGGATGAGGTGATGGTGATGGATCCCGCTCTGATTAGATTTGGAGGAAGGGCTTTCTAGGTAGTGGGAGCAGCAAATACCAAAGCCCTTTGGTGGGAAGGAACTTCACATACTCTAAAGAATAGGAAAAGGATTTTAGTGAGGAGTAAGAAATTGGTCTGAGGGCAGATTAGAGACCAGATCATATGGTGCCAGCATATATGTTTATGAAGCAGCAGGAAGCCCTTATTGACCTCTCCTTTTCCTCAGAACCCAGACTTTCATGGTTATGACCAGGACCCTGTGGTGGATGTCTGGAATATGCGAGCTGTCTTCTTCTTTGGTTTTTCCATCGCCTTGGTCTTTGGTACCACATTTGTGGCATATCTGCCTGACTACAGGTATAGGGGTATTCCAAGAGAGTAGAGTGGGTAGAGGCAGAGACAAGGGTAAAGGTTGAAGGAGTCTCTGGCCAGAATCCTTACCCTGCACTGGTGGGGAATGGGGTGCTGAGGTGGGGAACTAGTGTCTAGTGAGGCTCTCTCATATCACACCACACCTGTTACTGCTTCTAGGATGCAAGAGTGGGCCCGCCGGGAAGCTGAGAGACTTGTGAAATATCGAGAAGCCAACGGCCTCCCCATCATGGAATCCAACTGTTTTGATCCCAGCAAGATCCAGTTACCAGAAGATGACTGATGAATTGCTAAGCGGGGCTTAAGAAGCATTATTTTGTCCACCCTCTGCCTGTTATTATTCTGGTTTCTCAGAGCACCTTATTAAAGGGATTGAAAGAATGACTGGTTACTGTTTTTTTTTGTTATGGAAGAGGATCTATGAGAGAGTGTGTGACAAGCCTTACAAAGGCAATTGCTGCCTTTCTTGGTTGTCTAGAGCTGTGCAAGGTTTGGTGACTTAGTACTCTATTTCATGGCCCTGTGGGTTGCATAGTAAGGGTGTTTGGCTCCTCAATGGATCCCAGGTGGTTGCTGTTAGGTATTAGCTAGGGCTAGAGTCATCTGAAGCACATCTGGTCTATACAGCCAAGGTTTCTAAAAAAAACAACACATCTGGCACTTCAGTCTTCAGCATAGTAACCTGGGCTGCTTATAGCAGTGGTTCTCAACCTTCCTAATTCTGTGACCCTTTAATAAAGTTCCTCATTGTGGTGACCCCCAGCCATAAAATTATTTTCATTGCTACTTCATAATTGTAATCTTGCTTCTGTTATGAATCGTAATGTAAATATCTTTGGAGATAGAAATTTGTCAAAGGGGTTGCGACCCACAGTTGAGAACTACTATCTTCGAGGGTAGTTCAAGGCTCTTCTGGATGGAGACATAGCATATAGGGAGAAATAGACAGTAGCTATTTATACAAAGGAGCTTAACCTTCCTACATTTGAACTTGTGTTGAGATAACTGGTGGGTGAGAACAGAGTTTTTCTGTTGCTAAGTATGGTTATTTGGTTCCCTGCTTTCTCGGGCTTGTGGCTTCTCTGCTTCTGTCTTGTGTATTGGTGAGTCTGGATGCTTCTTTTTTCTCTTCTAATCGAAATCTGGATGGTCTTCAACTTGACATACATCTAGGCTGGGGATGTAGCTCAAGGTTAGAGTATTTGCTGAGTATGCTATAGGTTCCATTCTAGCACCAAATACTTAAAAAAGATTGTACATTTCTGTCTGCCTCTCTCTTTCCCTCTCCCCACTCTTCTTCCTCCTTCTCCTTCTTCCTTACCACCTTCATCCCTGATAATAAGCTGTCTCCTTGCAATTGTCTATCTGTTGGTCAGTCCAGTGTCTGCTTACTGCCTTTGAGCATTATGAAAGCAAGCCAGCTTTCAGCTCAGTCCCACCATGATTTTCTGCAACCAAAGAATGAAGTGTTTCAAAATAGAATCTTACAGTTTAGTTCTTTTGGGCAACCAAGAGCCTATATTGTTTTAGGGGCCTCCCTGGCCAACAACTTGTAAGGAAATAACCCATCCTTGGCACTGAGATTTTTGTTTAGCAACTTATAGCTTATGGAAACATCTTTTTCCACTCCTACATTGTACCTTCATTCAAACACTTATTTGCTTTTTTGAGGTAGGGTCTCATATAGCCCAGGCTGAGATCAAACTCATGTAGTAGCCAAGAATGACCTTGATCTCCCAATCCTTCCTCTACCTCCCAAGTGCTAGAATTATAAGTGTGTACCATCATGTCTGGCTCACTCAAACTCTAACCATTATTTTGACTAAAATTTGCAGGCACAGAACTTTTGTAGGACTTTTCTCATTCATCATGATGGGTATCATCTGCACCCATAAACCTTTTAAAATTTTCATAGGTGTGCCTGGCCCTTATACCCCATATGATTCCCCATGTTTGCTCCTTTGGGTGTTGCTTGCATGTTTTTCATGTGTTTCTAAATCTGTAAAACACTCAGAGGTTAACATTATATAATCTATGTAATGAAATCTTTTAAAAAATTACACACATTTTTGTGTGCATGTGCATGCTACAGAAGACAACTTGAAGAAATTGATTTCCTCCTGCCATGTAGTCCTCAGGGATGGAACTCAGGTCATCAGGCTTGGTGACAGGAGCCTTTACCTACTGAGTCATATATCACTATTTTACAAAGGGTAGTCAGGATTATTAAAGGCTCCTTACATTCTAAGAAAGTGCCAATGATCTAAGGAATCAGCTGCTAAGGGGTAGTTAAGAAAAATTTTAGCAAGATCCAATACAGAATGAAAAGATTCCATTGCTTGTATCATTTTCTCAAAACATCAGTGGTAGATACAATGGATTGGATGGGAGGCAACTACTTTAGTTAGCCCTCCATTAAGCACAGTTGTAGCTGGAGAGTTTCTCTTCAGCTCCAGCTAAGCCCCAGCAGTCCTGCAGCCCACTTAAACACAGAGACTCTTATATTATTTAAACTGTTTGGCATAATGGCTCAGGCTTCTAGCTAGCTGTTCTTATATCTTAAATTAACCCATTTCTATAAATCTGTACCTTGCCACATGGCTCGTGGCTTACCAGTATCTTACATGTTGGTACTCATGGCAGCGGCTGGCAGTGTCTCCTGACTCAGCCTTCCTGTTCCCAGAATTCTCTTCTCTGCTTGTCCCGCCTATACTTCCTGCCTGGCTACTGGCCAATCAGCATTTTATTTATACAGAGCAATATCCACAGCACACAGTCATTCTCTATAAGCCTTTTCACCTCATCCTAGAGTATGCCATGGGACTCCATATGTCTCCTCACCTCTGAAGGCTTAAGTGGAACTGGCTCCTGCTGCTTTGAACAGCTTGAGACCAGGTGGATATAGGGCAACACATCTCATTCCCATGTTTGACAGCTTTTAGGCCAATGCTACAGCTGGCTGCTGCCTCTCCATTGGCCACATTTGGCTGGTGAAAGGGTCCCAACTAGATAAACAATCTCTACTCAGCATACTTTAAAAATTATTATTTTTAATTATGTATATGTGTGTGCCAGCAGGTATTCATGGAGGCCAGAGGCATCACATCTTCCTGGAGCTAGAGTTACAGGTGAGTTACCCAACTGGGTACTGGAAATTGTACTTTGGGACTCTCTTCAAGAGCAATTTGGTCTCTTAGACACGGCCATTTCTCTAGCCCCCAGCATACTTCTTTTTATGTGTAGGAAGGTTTTGTCTGTTTGTATGTATGTCTGTGTAAAATGTGTGCAATGCCCATGCAGGCCAGAAAAGGGTGCTGGATTCCTTGGAACTGGAGTTACAGCTAATTGTTAGCCACATGTATGTGCTGGAAATTGAAGCCAGGTCCTCTAAAAGAACAGCCAGTGCTCTTAACTACTGAACCATTTCTCCAGTCCCACCCCAAGCATACTTTCTATCTCTACCCCCTCTTCTTTTTGTCTTTTGTTTTTTGAGACAGAGTCTCACTATGTAGTTGTGGGTGACCTAGAACTCACTGTGTAGACCAGGCTAGCCTTGAACTCACAGAGATCCACCTGCCTTTGCCTCTGCCTTCTGAATGCTGGGGTTAAATACATGTACCACCTTCCTAGCCTCATTTTTTTTGTTGTTGTTGTTGTTGGTCTCACTGTGTAGTTAGCCCTGGCTGTCCTGGAACTTGCTATGTAGACCAAGCTTGCCTCAAACTCACAGAGATCTGCCTGCCTCTCCCAGTATACTTTCTTACAGACAGGAGAAAAATGTGAGTATAATTGCCTACTCCTGGAACAAGCCATGTTAGGATTGCCCCCACAGATGCTACACCCTAGGATGGCTTAGCTTCAGTTAGTTGCATGTCTCTTCACCCACAGCAGAGACAATGTACTGTTCCTCCCCAAATTCCTTGTTGTCATATCTCTGGGTGTCAAGTGTTGTATCAGCTTTTCCTGGGGAGATAAGAAGCATCTTATCTATTCAAATAGTTCACCAATTACAAACTGTGGGGAGCTGAGGAAGCCCTGAGTGTGTGAAGTCCTGAGTGAATGTGTGCTGTTGACATAGCCATGGCCATGTCAAGGACCCCAGTGCCTCAGATCCATGGGAAAATGGTAAAGTCTTCCCCAAGCTAGCTTGGGGAAATGGCAAAGGCTTCCCTCCTGGTCCAAGTGTAGATGTTGATAGTGTATACAGAAAATGTCCACTATAGCTTTCTCCACACTTCCATATTTACGTCCTAAAGACTCCTACCCCTACAGAGACTGCTCCTACTGAGATTAGATAATCCTGTCTTCTTCATCCAGCTATATTCCATAAACCCTGGCTCAGTATTTATCTGGATGTAATAACCCTATCTCTCTGTTAATTCTATGTAATAAGCATGCCAAGATTCCTAGAGTACTATGATTCTTCCATCAGAGAGAACAATCTAACAGATCCCAGCTTTTCTGTGTGCCTGTATTTGTGTTTTCTTCACTCCATTGCTGCCCTGGATAGGTCTATCCTTGGATCCATGCAACAGACTGGAGAAACACAAATCTAGCTTGGTAAACCTATGGGTTTAATTGGGGTTACTTACAGGAACATGGGTGAGGGGTTCAACTGTTTTTATTTTAAGACAGCAATGGCAATTCCATGCCCGGAGGACAACATTCCACAAGGATATAAGTTTAGAGGGACAGGTATTCAGATGCATTCTACTCAAAGCAGTGATCAGTGTAGTGTGTGCTTGATGGACATTTGGTCCATTATCACTTGTCAGCCTTTTGGCTAAGATGAAGTTTTGTGTCTATTCCTAATCAGTTTACTACATGACATGTCCTTTATCTGAGGAAAATGTATTAAATGAGGATTTTTTTTTATAACAAGGAGATGGAATAGCTGGCTCTGTCCACTCCATGCAGGAATCTAGTATTACGGGACCCCTATGAATTAGTTCCTTTGGCAGGGATTTTAAAAATGGGTATGTTAGCCGGGCGGTGGTGGCGCACGCCTTTAATCCCAGCACTCGGGAGGCAGAGGCAGGCGGATCTCTGTGAGTTCGAGGCCAGCCTGGTCTCCAAAGCGAGTTCCAGGAAAGGCGCAAAGCTACACAGAGAAACCCTGTCTCGAAAAACCAAAAAAAAAAAAAAAAAAAAAAAATGGGTATGTTATCTCTTGTGTAGATGATGTCGATCTATCCATGGCCTTCTGGCTTATAGATTAAGAATGAATGCCTCTTGTTCTCCCAAGTTCTACTTCATTAAGCTCTCAGCCCTTGAGAAATTTTCATTCTAGCTATACATGAATGAAATCCTAAAACCTAGAGGCTACCCTTTGACCAAATCCTAAAGTCCATGCCCTAGCCCCTTCTATTCTGGTTGCAAAGACCACTTTCTCTTGCTCATTGTAACTCAGGCACTGCTTGCCTATTTTGGGTCACTGACTTAAAATATACACTTAGGGGTGGGGAAATATAGAGCTCAGTAAAGTTGGTAAAGGACTGAAGTTAACAGTTTCTTTGTAAAGTGGGAAAAGCAATAGGACAGCTAAAAAATAGACCTGCTTCATATGATTAAATGAGTCAGAATGGTCACAACAGCTCCTGCCACTTCAGAAGTACTCAGAATTAGAAGATGTTTATTATTGCCATTTCCACCTTACTGGGATATGTGAAGTTTGTATTTTTGAAAAGGCATAGCATATAAGTACTTCATCAACACTAACCTCTGGGTGAGGGGCTTAAATATATAGGGTGCTATAGGATAAGTGGACCCATAGGAAATTACCAATATTCAGCCATCTTTAAACATTTATTTATTTATTTATTTATTTATTTATTTATTTATTTATTTATTTATTTTCAGAGCTGAGGACCAAACCCAGGGCCTTGCACTTGCTAGGCAAGCGCTCTACCACTGAGCTAAATCCCCAACCCCATTTTTAAACTTTTATAAATAGCACTTCCCAAGGGTACAATTTAACAGACAGGGTGATTAGGTAATGTTTCTCAAACAAGTAGGTGAGGCCAATTACTCATTTGGAAATAAAGTCAAAAACCTTGGATGAGGTGATGGTGATGGATCCCGCTCTGATTAGATTTGGAGGAAGGGCTTTCTAGGTAGTGGGAGCAGCAAATACCAAAGCCCTTTGGTGGGAAGGAACTTCACATACTCTAAAGAATAGGAAAAGGATTTTAGTGAGGAGTAAGAAATTGGTCTGACGAGGGTCGAGGGAGAGAGAGCTTGGGGGAGCGGGAGATCCCAGCTGAATCAACAACAGAGAGGGAGAACAAGGAATAGGAGACCATGGTAAATGAAGACCACATGAGAATAGGAAGAAGCAAAGTGCTAGAGAGGCCCACAGAAATCCACAAAGATACCCCCACAACAGACTGCTGGCAATGGTCAAGAGACAGCCCGAACTGTATCTCCAAACACCCTGATTGTCGTGCTAGAACCCTCATCCAACTACTGAGGGATCTGGATGCAGAGATCCATGGCTAGGCCCCGGGTGGATCTCTGGGAGTCCAATTGGCGAGAATGAGGAGGGTTTGTATGAGCGAGAATTGTTGAGACCAAGGTTGGATAAAGCACAGGGACAAATAGCCAAATGAATGGAAACACATGAACTATGATCCAATGGCTGAGGGATCACCAACTGGATCAGGCCCTCTGAATGGGTGAGACAGTTGATTGGCTTGATCTGTTTGGGAGGCATCCAGGCAGTGGGACTGGGTCCTGTGCTCATCGCATGAGTTGGCTGTTTGAAACCTGGGGCCTATGCAGGATCGCTTGGCTCGGCCTGGGAGGAGGGGACTGGACCTACCTGGACTGAGTCTACCAGGTTGTTCTCAGTCCGCGGGGAAGGCTTTGCCCTGGAGGAGGTGGGATATGTGGGAATGGGGGGTGGGCTGGGGGGAAGGTGAGGGGGGCGGGAGGGGGGAGAACAAGGGAATCCATGGCTGATATGTAGAACTGAATTGTATTGTAAAATAAAAATTAAAAAAAAAAAGAGTATAGTCACAAAACATTCATCGTAAAAAAAAAAAAAAAGAAATTGGTCTGAGGGCAGATTAGAGACCAGATCATATGGTGCCAGCATATATGTTTATGAAGCAGCAGGAAGCCCTTATTGACCTCTCCTTTTCCTCAGAACCCAGACTTTCATGGTTATGACCAGGACCCTGTGGTGGATGTCTGGAATATGCGAGCTGTCTTCTTCTTTGGTTTTTCCATCGCCTTGGTCTTTGGTACCACATTTGTGGCATATCTGCCTGACTACAGGTATAGGGGTATTCCAAGAGAGTAGAGTGGGTAGAGGCAGAGACAAGGGTAAAGGTTGAAGGAGTCTCTGGCCAGAATCCTTACCCTGCACTGGTGGGGAATGGGGTGCTGAGGTGGGGAACTAGTGTCTAGTGAGGCTCTCTCATATCACACCACACCTGTTACTGCTTCTAGGATGCAAGAGTGGGCCCGCCGGGAAGCTGAGAGACTTGTGAAATATCGAGAAGCCAACGGCCTCCCCATCATGGAATCCAACTGTGTTGATCAGATCCCATTACCTGGGGGTAACTACAAAGACTTCAAATCCTGAGAGTAAGCTCAGCACATGGCCTGACCTCTAGGACCACCTATCTGCCGTGCAGTTCACTGCTAGTGGGACTAAGAACTCAGACTCTGGGTGAAAGCTTCTTCAAGTCTTCAGCCTCTTCCCTTCCACAGTGTGTTAAAAGCAAAACAGAATTTGGAAGCGCTAAGTCTGGTCCTCTAGTCTAAATCTCAGGGCTCTGTTTGCTTTTTTCACTCCCCAAGACAAGCTGGCAATAATCCTATGTCCTAGAGTTTCTACTGTTGTGATAGAATATCATGGCAACAACTGAACAGTGTTCCAAGAGAGACTTTGGAGCACTTGGTCATAAATGGGATATCTTTACCACACTTGTCCCCTCAAGACTCAAGGATATTCTCAGAAGATGAGGCAGAAAGACTGTAAGAGCCAGAGGTGTTGGAGGACGCATAGGAAACAGCATCTTCTAGACACAACAAGGCTGATACGCATAGGAACTCACAGAGACTGTGACAGCACATATAAGACATGCAAAAATTCAAGCCAAACAAAATCCCAACATGAAGGGGAAGTGGACACAAATTCCCACCCCTTAGCAAGAAGCTATAGGCAATGGATAGCTTTTGGGAAAGGTAAAATCCATTTTCTACTTTGGAGTGTCACTGTATGTTTCCGAAGCACTCCAGGGTAAGCCCCATGCCCAGGAGTAGTTTGGCCAACATAAAATGGACTCTGTTTTTATGTGCTTTTTGTTTTGTTTTGTTATCATTTGTCTTATTATTTATTTTTTTGTTGTTCCTTGATTTTAAGTTTTAGTTTCTTTTTTTCTTTTTTGAGAGAGAAAGAGAGAGCACCCGAGTGAGTGCAATTTGGGTGGGTAGGGAGGATCTGGGAAGAATTTGGGATGGGGAATGGATATGGTCAAAATATACTGTATGAAAAAAAAATAAAGAAAAGCTACTATGACTAACAGCAACTTGGCGAGGAAAGGGTTTGTTTCAGCTTACAAACCTGAAATCACACTCATCACTGAGAGAAGTCAGGGCAGGAACCCGGAGACAGGAACTGAAGCCCAAGTCATGGAGAATTATTGCTTACTGGCTTGCTCTCTAGGGCTTGCTCAGCCTACTTTCTTATACAACCCAGGACCAGCTATCTATGGGTGGCACCACCGACAATGGGCTGTGCCCTTCCACATTAATTGTTAATCAAGAAAATGCTCTGCTGGGCGGTGGTGGCACATGTACTTGGGAGGAAGTCCCACCACTTAGGAGGCAGAGGCAGGCGGGTCTCTGTGAGTTTGAGGCCAGTCTGGTCTATGGATCAAGTTCCAAAGCTACACAGCGAAATCCTGTCTGGAAAAAAAAGAAGAAAAGAAAAGAAAATGCCCCACAGACTTGGTTACAGGAAACCTGATGAAATCATTTTCTCAACTGAGGTTCCTTTTTCCAGACAACTGTAGCTTGTGTCAAGTTGACAAAAAACTAATTAGCACAAATATTAAAAGAGCAATGTTCAGACATGGTAGGTGCTTGACTCAAATGTTTTACTTCAGTAGAGAAGTGGTGGATATCAATAACACTGAGTCCTTTGCAAAAAACCATCATCAAATGCTGCTACAGTGTGGGCAAGATTACTCAGCAGGTAAAGGTGCTTGCCTGTAAGCCTGATGGTCTGAGTTTGAGTCCTGGGACTTGCAATGGAAGGAGAGAACTGAGTCCCACAAGTTGTTCTCTGGCCTCACAAATAAGTAAATAAAAGCTACAGACTTGGCTCCAAGAGGCCTTGCTACTTAAAAGGGACAAGTGCTCAGCCTCTGTGCTGGCCAGTTTTATGTCAACTTGACACACAAACTAAAGTTTTCTGAAAGGGGGGAACCTCAATTGAGAAAATGCCTCCATAGGATCTGGCTGTAAAGTTTTTTTTTTGTTTTGTTTTTGTTTTTGTTTTATTTTCGAGATAGGATTTTTCTGTGTAACAGCTCTAGCTGTCCTGGAACTTGCTCTGTAGACCAGTCTGGCCTCGAATCCACCTGTCTCTGTCTCCTGAGTGCTGGGATTATAGGTGTGTGCTGCCATCACCCAGCTTGTTTAGTATCTTATATAGAGATAGATTGTTGGGATAATGAGTGTCACATTCCCCAACAAGTTCTTGAGAGGACACTTCCAAGCCTATGGAGTTAACAGCTTAGATTACTGGATATGGGTGCACTGAGCTTGTTTGCCCAGTAGGTGGCAACATTATAAAAGGTTTTATTTCTCCTGATTTACCAGGCTACCTTAAAGCATTGATTCTCAAACTGTGGATCACGACCCCCTTTGGGGGTATTGAATGACCCTTTCACAGGGGCCACCTAACACCATTGGAAAATACAGATATTTACATTATGATTCACAACAGTAGCAAAATTGCAGTTATGATTTAGCACTGAAAATAATTTTATATGCCGGGCGGTGGTGGTGCACACCTTTAATCCCAGCACTCAGGAGGCAGAGCCAGGTGGATCTCTGTGAGTTCGAGGCCAGCCTGGTCTACAAAGTGAGTTCCAGGAAAGGTGCAAAGCTACACAGAGAAACCCTGTCTCAAAAAACCAAAACAAGAAGAAAAAAAAAAAGAAAGAGAAAATACTTTTATGGTCGAGGTCACTACAACATGTGGAACTGTATTAAAGAGTCACAGCATTAGGAAGGGTGAGAACCGCTGCCTTAAAAGGATGTGGGTATGCCCTAATTGGATGTGACCAATCTTACTTATTGTGGTTTGAAAGAAAATGGTCCTCAAAGGGAGCACTATTAGGAGCTGTGGCCTTGTTGGAGTAGGTGTGGTCTTGTTGAAGGAAGTGTGTCACTGTGGAGGTAGGCTTTGAGGGCTTATGGATGCTCAAGCCACGCCCATTGAGACAGTTAACTTCTGTTGCCTTTGGATCAAGATGTAGGGTTCTCAGCTCCAGTACCATGCCTGCTTGCATGCTGCCATGTCCCACCATGGTGATAATGGACTGAACCTCTGAAACTGCAGCCTCCACCTCAGTTAAATGTTTCTCCTTTGTAAGAGTTGCCATGGCCATGGTGTCTCTTCACAGCAATAGAAACCCTAAGAAACTTATGAAGGCCACTATTCCTGAATCTATTCTGCATTGTTGACATAAATCTGGATATGTTCTTTTTTATTGTTGTTGTTTTTGAAACAAGATCTCATTATGTAGCCTTGGCTGGCCTGGACTCATAGTCTTTGCCTCTATAGTGTTAGGATTAAAGTTGTGCACTACCATAGCCAATCTGGGCATGTTCTTAAAGCTTGTGGGTAAGGTACTTCAGTTTCTTGGCCTTATTGTTTCTATAAGAAGCCCATGCCGGGCAGTGGGAGCGCATGCCTTTAATTCCAGCACTCAGGAGGCAGAGCCAGGTGGATCTCTGTGAGTTCGAGGCCAGCCTGATCTACAGAGCGAGATCCTATCTCAAAAAACCAAAAAAGAAGCCCACTTGCAATATAATATTATAGTTAATATTGCCATATTCCGGCTATGCCTTCAATCCAATCTAAGTTCCTTTCAGGACCCAGCTGGTTCTACTGAGATCAGTCTATACCCTGCTCCAAGTTATTCCATATTGTATAAAAGTCTTTTCAGACTGTAAATTGCTCTGAAAGACTTCATTAAAGATTTCAATATATTGTTATTGTTTGTATGGTGTGTGTGTGTGTGTGTGTGTGTGTGTGTGTGTGTGTGTGTGTGTGTGAAGGTAGGAGCATACATGCCACAGTGTGAAGAGCTGTTCTTTCCTTCTAGCATGGGATCCTGGAGTGGAATATAGGTTGTCAGGTTTGTATGGCAGACACTTTTACCTGATAGCTATCTTGCTAGTCAGAGAGAGTCCATCTTACAAGCAGCTTTGGAGTTCATTTTGAGAGGGAGGATAACTGCACCTGGGTGGAAAAATGAATGGTACCATATGTCTGGTACTACCCACATAGCACAAACCATAAGCAGCTTATTCCTAGGAGTGGAAAGGGTGCCACTCTATGAACTTGTTGAGTGAACTGGAACTGTAGGGGCACATGAGCATATTAAAATTACATCAGAATGCTAGGCCCCAAGAACTTAGTGGACACATCAGACCAAGGAAAAAGTGTAACTACTTCACCCAGATTCCATAGAGAGGTGGACACTGCAGTGGTTTGAATAAGAATGGCCCCCATAGGCTTATATATTTGAATGCTTGGTCATCAAGGAGTGGTACTACTTAGAAGGATTAGAAGGTATGGCCTTGTTGGGGTAATTGTGGCCTTGTTGGAAGGAAGTGTGTCACTGGGGGTGTGAGCTTTGAGGTTTCAGAGGCTCAAGCCAGGCCCAGTGGCTGGCTGGCTCTCTCTCTCTCTCTCTCTCTTTCTCTCTCTCTCTCTCTCTCTCTCTCTCTCTGCTGCCTGCAGATTTGAATGTAGAACTTTCAGCTACTTCTCCAGCTCAATGTCTGCCTTCATAATGCTATGCTCCCTGCCATTATGACAATGGACTAAACCTCTGAAACTGTAAACAATCCCCAATTAAATCCTTTCCTTAGCCTGGCAGTGGTGATGAATGCCTTTAATCCCAGCACTCAGGAGACAGAGGCAGGTAGATCTCTGTGAATTCAAGGCCAGCCTGGACTATAGAGCAATTTCTAGAACAGCCAAGACTGTTACACAGAGAAACTCTGTCTCTAAAAAACAAACAAACAAACAAACAAAATCTTGTCCTTTAATAGAGTTTCCATGGTCATGGTCTCTCTTGAAAGCAATAGAACATTGACAAAGACAGAAATTGGTACCAAGGAGCAGGGTGTTGCTGTGATATGTATGACCATGCTGCTTGTTGGTGGAATGTGGACTTTGGGACTCTGGATTGGGAAATCAGTTGAATGCTTTAGGCAGGGTTTAATGGGCCATACTAGTAGTGCTGGGAGCAATGTATATTATGATGATCCAGCTGAAGAGAGTTCAGAGGAAGGGAAGAACATTAGTGAGTAGCCTAGAGGCTGTTCTTGGTGATATTTTGGCAAAAAAATATGGCTGCTTTCTGCCCTTGTCCCAAAAACACATCTGAGGCTAAACTGAGGATTTTGTATTCATGTTGTTGGCAGAGGAGATTTCAAGGCAGCCTGATGTTGACTTTGTCATATAGTTATTAGTGTTCACTCTTATGCAGGCCTATAATGAAAAGGAACAAGCTGAGCAAGGAAAAAATACAAAATGTACAGTTTAGGAGAGAGGAAGCACCAGGAAGTGTAATGGAGCTAAGCCCAGTGTTCAAGGAGATAAAAATTTTAAAGAAAAGTCTGGTACTAAATGGAATAAAGGAACTGGTGACCTCAGGGAAAGACTCAACTTAGGTTAGCTTCCAACTTGTGAAAAGGAATTAAAGAAAAATTTAAGAACAGCAACAGAAAGCTGATGCAGATGTAATTGAAAGAGGGGGCCATATTCCAGCCCCCGCAAGCACCAGAACTTGGCAGCTTTAGCCATTTTTTTCTGACTTTAGAGTCAAGGATAGAAGAAAGGGATTGTGGAATCTTCATCCTTGGCTAAGGAAATCTGCTGAGGCCAGGCATGTGTCAGGGGTGTCCCTGCATAGAGGCCCAGAAAGGCCACTGAGTGAAGCTGTGAAAGATAAGCCATTAAAGAGACTCCAAGATGTTGGAGATGCCAGAGCCATGGGATACCTGCTGAGGAGAGCTGCTAACAGGGAGTGGAACCACCCAAAGAGAGAGAAGTGTGTTGCAGTCAACAAAGCTGAAAGAGTTGGAGATCTGAAGAGTGCTTTGACACTGGACATGAAGATGCAGAGTTTGGTGTTTGCCCTGCTGGTTTTCAGTCTTGTTTTGGTCCAGTATTTCCTCACTATACTCCCTCCCCTATATTTTGGAATGGTAATGTATATCCTGTGCCATTGTATGTTA